TTATTGCCATGTGTTTCTATTTCTGTATTTTTATCTCATACTGTCATTTCTGCTTTTAAATTAATGATTTAATATTTCATTTCTGTTTCTTGTATATTTATTGAATCTTTTGTTGAACCGAAATTTATGTGAGATGTTTTAGCGTCCACACACTGCCCGCCGAGACTAGCTATGCTATTTTTGGGTAGTGGTTGACTATGTTAAGTTAAGTTTAACGCCATTAGAATAAAGTACAAGTAGAAGAAGAAGTAGAAAATGAACAGGTTCCTTTTTCGGATTTTAAAGGTCATACACTGAAGTAATTGTAGAACAAAGGAACCTATCACTGTATCACTGAGCTATGTATCAATGGTTTGTTCTATGCAAATTTTAGTTGTGAAGCTTAAAGAATTCTCAATGACTCTAGGTTGTTCTGGTGGAAAAAAATCTCCACTATCCGTTCAGCTCTTGCAACGTTTCATTTACGTAGCAGCAAAAGTTGACGCTCAGTGGTTCATTAGACTTATCTTTGATCTGCCCTCTGGAAGAGTTGCATTTGATTCATACAAAGAAAGATCGTTGTTGCCAGAAGACGTAGCCCACGCACGAGGCCACAAGGAAACCGCGCAGTATCTTAAAGATGTGACTAAAAGGTAAGTGGTGTCTAGCTGCTTCAGAACAGCTGGGTATATTTCTTTGTGTGAATTATTTACGAAAACGAAACCTTTGCGAGACTAATATTTTCATGTTTGTTGAAAGACCGTCGTTTATAAACAAAACAAGGCATATTAGTCAAGCGGAAAGTATTTAGTTTGCCGTGACAAAACCGAGAAGCGATGGAATGTAAGGAGCGAAATTTGAGTGTGGTAAGAGTGCAATCTCGTTAGAAGACCGAAACACCAGTTACACTGACATGTTTTGAGATTCCTCATCCTTCAATACAACAGCACGTTTAGTAATATTGTACACTACGTTTTTGGTTGCTAAAAATGGAATCTATCTGTGGCTTATTGCTGGTAGACTCTCTGAAAATGAGGAAATGGAAGAAAGACCATCAAACACCATTGACTGGCAGGAAATCATTGCAGCCATTGAGGGAACACAACTTGAAAGTCCTGGTAAGTTAACTCTCTCGCCCATCTCGCACAACCAAACCGCCAATTCGACCCATAAGAAGACAAAAAGTAATAGAAGACCTTCTTAGCTTGCCTTCACTCACCTTTACTCTTACAGGGACAACACAGTAGTATCCCTTTATACCTTTCCCCATCGTGTGCAACTTAGGTTTCTTTTTCTGAATTTTTTTAACTGCAGCTCACCTGCCAGAAATCATTTTAACTAGTTCAAGTTACACGCAGTTGCATAGTTGTTAACTTCTGAAAAACACTTCTTATGACACCTGAACGACGAGACCTTACCGCTTTATTGGATATGTTTTAAGTTTAAAATGGCGTGTATCATTTTCCACTTGCAAGTCATGAATTTTGGTCATAATGTACATGTATACCAAGAGAAGCATAGTGTCTCGTCGTGGATTGTCCACTCTTTTTAGGTGTCAACGTTTTCCAATCGAGTGTATTGAAGTATATTGACATGTTCTAAATAAATCCTGGTATGTCTTAAAAAATTTGTCTAGGTTTTGAAAGACAGAGTTGTCAAGGGCTACAATCTCAACAGACAAAGCCGACCATGTCACCGCAGCCCTTCACTGACAAGAAGCTGAATTATTTCAAGTTTGCCTCCATCGTGTTTAATGAGTTCGCGAACGCTTTGCGTCAAACGTTTAAGTCCATGTGGGACAGCACCTTTGGATATCGCCCTGGATATCAACCATGGGATGACTCCACAGCAGTAAGGAACTTGTTTCTCGCCGAAGAGGGTGGTAAAACCAAAGTTCCCACTCACCTCTCCTATGAAGCATGGGACTGTACCGCCCTTTTTCATACCACCATATATGCGCAGTCCTTCGCTCTGCTGGACAGCAAAGGCCATAAGAGGACCCTTAGTGAATTGTACACGAGGCACCGTAAAATACCTCATGGAAAGTTTCATGTATCTGTGGTGAGTCCAAGTGGAAGCCAAGCTGAGACGTTTACACTCGCGATTGATCAGCTGCGACTGTTAAGAAATTCGCTTTATCACTCAGAAAATTCAGAGATTGATAAAGCAACGTTTGACCAGTACATGAAGCTGGCTAAGGAAGCATTCAAAGCTCTTGGTATGAAAACTGACCCAATTGATGTCATCGGTAGTTTGACAGAGTCCGACTTTCCCACAACAGCAGTTCGCAATCTGGAGCACGGTATGAAACAGGAGCTTCGAGAGCGAATCAAATTTCTCGAAAGCGAGGGTTCAAGTATTGATGAATTAAAGGCGTTGACAAATGGAATAAAGGAAAAAGTTGAAGGTGGAGCAAGTAAGGAAGACCTTGCTTTATTGGAGAAGAAGATGGATGAATTGAAAGAACAAAATAATACAACCCAGAAAGGTACAATCTTAATACACTTCTATACTAGCTACGTTACATTTTTAAAGGGTTTTTTGAAGAATCGACTTGATTTCTATCTTAACCGCTTTAATATAGGGCAGAATGCGTAGTCATCATTTATTACTCATAACTGATAAAGCGGTAAATTTTAACGCGATCTCGCTTTGAAGGACCCTAAATTAGAGAAGAATGGACCCAAATTGACCCACTAGGCTTCGTGAAATTCACTTTACTGAGTTTTAAAAGTGCATGCTAACTTCTAAATTAGTACACGGAATTTTAAAGATTAAAGATGTGTCTACGATTTGTATCTAAAATGAAGGACATTACATGAAGTAAGAGAATTATCCCTTCACTCCTGAAAGTTGCGGAAACCAACCTTTTGTTGACCCGAGAGTATTGCACACATTTAAATTGTTTGAAACAGATTGCTGAGAGATAAAAAATGGTATGCGAGGCTCAGTTTGTTGCGTCAGAGGCATACGGCTCAGTTGCTCTGCAACTTTCCGAAAGCCCCACGACACTTGATGAATCATGTTGACAATTTAAGGTTTAATTCCGTTATTTCGACTTTATCGTTTGGTTTAAACTTCTTTAATATCATAACAGATTACTTACCATGACTGTCACTGTTCTTTGTCATTTTAAAGATTCGAAGGCATTGCTTCCGCCATCATGTCTTCCTCCGATGGTTCCACACTTCACTGGCCGCCAAAGAGAGTGTAAAGACATCGTCGGTCACGTGGCTTCCACATCCATCCGAATCGTGTCGATATGGGGCTCGCCTGGTTTCGGAAAAACTTCTGTGGCAACTGCTGTGGGACATAAACTCCAGGATAAAGAATTGTCTGTCTACTTTTTCTCCTTACGAGGGCTAAACTCAAAATCTGATTTAATATCAAAGCTGTTTAGCTTTTTCAGGAGAGCTTCTGGAGAAGATGAAATACCCCAGCGGCTGCCAATCGATGAAGAACTTTTTCAAGCTCTCGCCAAGATTCCAAACGAGTTTTTGATGATTCTTGACAATGCTGATGACTTACTCGAAAGTGGAGAGCCAAACGTGAAAGACGATTTCATACAGTTTCTTAAAGACATTCTCAGTCGATCCGAGAAGGCAACTTTTGTCATTACCACAAGGGAATCTCTTGAATTTATGAATGTGCACTTTGAAGACCACCAGGAAGTGAGAATAGGGCCATTAGATGAGTCCTTCTCTCAAGCATTGGTGAGTGAGCTGCTTCCAAATGCTATTTCCGCGTCTGATTGTGGAGAAATTGCGAACATCTGCGGGCATGTACCGCTGGCCATTAAGCTGTTGTGCTCCGACATTTCTGAAGATAGCACCCAACCAAGTCAGTTTCTCGAGGACTGGAAGGAATCTGTAGAGCGTAACATTGTCGATCTGTTGGACAATCCAGACTATCCTAGCAATCTGAGATTAAAATTTCTATTTGAATCATCCTTTCTAAGACTTTCAGTACAAGAGAGAAAGGCAGTGGTTTCTTTGAGCATTCTATCGGGAGATTTTAGCATCTCGGTTGCCGCTGTTGTTATGGGAGTCAAAACAAACCTCGAGGCAAGGAAGATCTTACATAGGCTTCAGAGGAGATCACTTCTTGACCCTGGTTCCAAACCCGATTCATTTTCAATGCATAAATTGCTTCTGTCCTTTGTTAGAGAAAGAGGAGAAGATGAAATGAAAGAAACGATGCTGGATTCAAAAGCGCGCTTTTCTGCATTTTACGTTTCTCTTTTCGAGAAGTTGAACGAACAGTTCTTGAAAGGACATTCAATGTCAGCATTTGTTGCATTCTATGAAGAGAAGCAAAATATCATCCAGAGTCTAACAGAAAGCTGTTCAGATCCTAAGACATGTGATGTTGTTTTCACTGTTTTGATAAAAGCAGAAATATTTCTAGATTCCCTGTTCTGGTGCGAGGGAAACACCTTCAACGAGCTTTACGAATCAGCAATCAATCGGGCGAAAAAGCTCGGAAAAGGAGTTTTGTACAAACAGCTCTTGATTTCCCTTGCTTTTGGTGAGATGTATTGGGGCCCAAAAGGAAGAACGATGAAGCTGCTTTCGAAAGTTTGGGACGAGCAAATGTCATGTTCATCTCTCTCGGCAGAACATAAGGGAAAACTCATTTGTTACAGAGGCATCTGTCAAGTGGCTTCTGGAAAAACAGACGATGGAATACGAAGCTTAGAAGAAGCTCTTTCGTTGATGTCTGGCGATGCTGAACAGAGAATTCTCCGAGTAACTGCATTTCAGGTTCTTGCTATTTGTTACCACTTCAAAAAACAATATTCAGTTGCGTCACAGTTTTATGAGGAGGCGTTGCAAGAATGTGGATCATTTGTAGACATGAGTCTTGTTGTTATTCCCCCAATGGAAAACAAAGAAAATAACATTGTCGAAGAAGAGGTACAAAAACGGAAACCAAACACTCATATGACTTATCCGCTTAGATTAGAAATTATCTCTGTTGTTGGCTCAGCAACGAATCATTTATTTGATAAATATACCGAGAACTCAATGAGCAATGCTGTTATTCAAATAGCAACAGAATTAGAGAAACCGATATTACAGAGATCACTCGGCCTTTGGAAATTTCAGCGCAACGTCCGTGCTACACTCAAGAGTGTGTTGAATTATCACAAAGAAGCAACTAAATTGTCTGCTGCAAGCATCAGTTATCATGAAATGGCCATTACGGAATATGGAAACATGGCATTAGAGACTCACCCGAAACTAAATGAGAATCTAGCGTTACGCGTGCATCAAGAGGAGCTTCAAAGGAGTTACTTCGACCATGGCGTAAATCTGTTCAAACAGCAAAAATATTCTGAGGCCCAGAGATTTTATAAAAGTGCACTAATAATGCAAATTAAACTGTTTGGAGAAGAACAACCAGACACAGCGAGGAGTTACCAATCACTCGGAGTAACACAGCACAAGCTGGGCGATTTTGCTTCAGCGTTTCAGTCAATACAGCGCAGTCTTGATATCCGAGTTAAACTGTTTGGAGAAGAACACCGGACCACAGCGAGTAGTTATGAATTACTCGCAATAACACAGAACGAGTTGGGTGACTTTAATTCAGCGATTCAGTCGATACAACGGAGTCTTGACATCCGAGTTAAACTGATTGGAAAAGAACACGAAGACACAGCGAGGAGTTACGAATTACTCGGAGTAACACAGCACAGTTTGGGCGACTTTGCTTCAGCACTTCAGTCCAAACAGTGCGGACTTGACATCCGAGTTAAACTGTTTGGAGAAGAAGACCCATACACAGCTGAGAGTTACCAATCACTCAGAGCAACACACAACAAGTTGGGCGACTTCGCTTAAGCGCTTCAGTCCAAACAGCATGCACTACACACCCCTATTAAACTGTTTGGAGAGGAACACCCAGACACATCAAGGAGTTACGAATCAGTAGCAGCAACACAGAACAATTTGGGCGACTTTAATCCAGCACTTCAATCAGCACAGCATGCACTTAACATCCGTGTTAAACTGTTGGGAAAAGAACACGCAGACACGGCGAGGAGTTACGAATCACTCGGAATAACACAGCACGAGCTGGGCGACTTTCCTTCAGCGCTTCAGTCCAAATATCGTGTGCTCTTGACCCCAAGTTAAACTTCTTGGAGAAAAACACGCAGATACGGCAAGGAGTTACGAATCACTCGGGGTAATACAGCACATTTTGGGCGACTTTGCTTCAGCGCGTCAGTCCAAACAGCGTGCAGTTGACATCGTGTCAAACTGTTGGGAGAGGAATACGTAGAAACGGCGAGGAGTTACAAATCACTAGGAGTAACAGCAAAATCCAGCTATAGCACTTCAGTCCAAACAGCGCGCACTTGACATCCGTGTTAAACTGTTGGGAGAAGAATATGCAGACACGTAAAGGAGTTACGAATCACTGGGAGTAAGACAGCTCATTTTGGGCGACTTTGCTTCAGCGCTTCAGTCTAAATAGCATGCACTTGACATCCATGTTAAACTATTTGGGGAAGACTACGCAGACACGGCGAGGAGTTACAAATCACTAGCAGTAACACAGCAGGAGTTGAGCGACTTCGCTTCAGCGCTACAGCCCAAACTGCGTAAGTTTGACATCCGTGTTAAACTGTTTGGAGAAGAACACTTAGATACGGCAAAGAGTTACCACTAACTCGGAGTATAAAAGCACAAGCTGGGTGACTTAGTTTCAGCGCTTCAGTCCAAACAGCGTGCACTTGACCTATGCGTTAAACTATTTGGAGAAGAACACGCAGAAACGGCGAGGAGCTACGAATTACTTGCAGTGACACAACACAATTTGGATGACTTTGCTTCAGCGCTTCGATTCATTCCAAACAGCATGCACTAGACACCCGTGTTCAACTGTTTGGAAAAGACAAGTATTGATGGATCTCAGTCTAATCAATGCTATCTTAACTGTGGTGTACCTCAGGGGTCCTGTTTGTGTCCTCTACTACTTGTTGTGTACACTTCTACGCTGTTCGAGGTCATCGAACGTCATCTCTGCGAGGCTCATTGTTACGCGGATGATACCCAACTATACGTGAGTTTCAAGCCAGATGATGCTAATGCCCAGGATGAGGCCATTAGCGCAATGGAGGATTACATCAAAGATATAAGGAACTAGCTTACTGATAAAACTGAATTTCTAGTTATTGGAACTCGAAAACAGTTCAACAAATTAAATCTATTAGTACTTCATATAGGTGATCATACGATTGATCCTTCGGTTAACGTTAGGAATTTGGGAACGATATTTGACAATTCAATTAGTATGGATACTCATATAAATCAAGTTTGTAAGACCGCTTTTACCATATTCACAATATTCGTAGAATTTATAAATACCTTTCACAGGACTCCCTTAAAACATTAGTTCATTCATTCGTTACGTCCAAACCCGATTATTGTAATAGCCTACCTTATGGTCTTCCCAAATATCATACAAGTAAACTGCTACGAGTACAGAATGCTGCAGCTAGCTTATATAACCTTCACGGGCTACCTGTGTTTTACCGCATTTATTTTAAAATTTAATTATCACATCAAGGCCATATTTAATATGTCATCTAGCTATCTTAGTAACTTAGTGTCTATTAAGTTGTGTTCTGTTATTCCTTTGGAGCAGATTCTTCATTATTTTTGGAGCGTCCCAAGGGGCCCAAGGGGCCCATTAGGAGCTCGTTCATTTTATGCTGCTGCCCCTACAATATTAATGTGGAACAGCCTTCCAGCAAATATTCGGGAAATAACATCACTCCGCATTTTTAAGAAAAAACTTAAGACATCTTTTAATTTAGCTTACAACGAGTAGCTTTTCTTGGGGGTGATCAATTGTATATTTTTAGCATTAGGTTTTATAGATATTTCTTATAACTTATTATAGTCACCGTATTTTTATATACTTTTTAAATTCATGCAAAGCGCTTTTGACCATTGTAATTTTAGAAGGCGTTATATTAAGTGAATAATATCATAGGTGACAAATTACTCCTTAATTTTGGCGCGAAATTTCAGCGTTAATTTTTAATTTCACATGTGAAA